ACTTGACTCTCCCAGTCCTGTCTTGATAAATCCAATACAAAAAAAATATGAGTTGTGCCATCAGAGTTTTTACTCATCATAAAACTAAGTTCACCAATCTCCTTTCAGAATACTGGGAATTCTGGCTATTTTTTTTGCAAAGTAACTTTTGAGCCAGCTGCTGAAAAAATATTGAAAAGATGGAGACTCTCTCTATACTTGCTGTCCCACTGGTGGACTCCCTTTAGCTACTATGATCTCCCCAAAACTTCACTAGTTTTCTCACTGAGATTCTCTGTGCATTCTCTCTAGCTGTGTTACTCCTGTGCACTTTCACCAAGCCAGGAGTGATAATTTTATAAAGCGATGAACATATTTGATTTGCATTTAAAGAATATAATGGAAATTTGGTTCACAGAAATATGATGTAGATATAAAGCTTGTAATGTTCCAGACAGCCATATTAGTCTGTTGCAGCAAAAGCAATGATCATGGCATTGTAAAGACATATTATCACATAAACTTCCATGGACTATTATCCACTGAATCAGATATGTAAAGCATCATCCTTAGTTGGTCACATGCACACACACAAATTGGTGACAACCCAGTCCAAATCTCCAGATGCCCTCACCCATTGGTTTCATGTAGATGCTAAATAACACAGGAGACAAGATTGAACCTTGCAGGACCCCACTGGCAAGAATCAAAGGGGCTGAGCAGCAGTCCCCCTGCACCGCCTTCTAAAACCGGAACAGAACTACCTCAAAACAGTGCCTCCCAATCCCAGCCCAGAAAGGTGGTCCAGAAGGATTCCACGACTGATGGTACTGAAAGCTACTAAAAGGTCATCAACAGAGTCGCACTCCCTCTGTCCTTCTCCCAGCACAGGTCGTCTATCAGAGTGACCAAGGCTGTTTCAGTCCCATAACCAGGCCTAGAACCAGACTGGAAAGGATCTCAACAATTTGCTGCCTTCAGGAAAGCTTGAAGTTGTCTTGCCACCACCCATTCAATCGCCTTGTTCAAGAATGGAACATTTGAGACTGGTTGTTAATTACTGAGATTTTATGGGTTCAGAGTAGGCTTCTTTAGTAGTGCCCAGGGCATGCCCAGGGTAGGTTTCTTTAGCAGTGGATGCACCACATCTTGTTTCAAGGTTGGGGTGACCACTCCCTCTCTTGGTCCCAGGCAGCCAGCTTCCCCCCAGCAGATTTAAGTAGTTCTGAAGGGCAAGGGTCATACAAGAAGAAGGGACGGGTTTTATATTTCACTTTTCTCTACCATAAGGAGTCTCAAAGTCTCCCCTTCCCTTCCTATCCCCACAACAGTCACCTTGTGAGGTAGGTGGGGCTGAGAGAGTTCTGAGAGAACTGCAACTAGCCCAAGGTCACCCAACAGGCTTCACGTAGAGGAGTGGGAAATCAAACCCAGTTCTCCAGATTAGAGTCTGCTGCTCTTAACCAGTACACCACGCCAGCTCTCAAGCAGGTGGTAGGCCTCAAACCTCAAAGGATCCTGTCCAAATCATCAGACTAATAAACACAAAAGTATCCCCAAACCTGGACAAGTCAGCACCCTGGCACCATCTGACCCTGTCACTGCTAATGCAGAGTCAATGTTGGAACAGGTGGGAGAGATTTTATCTGCAAAGTGCTGAGCAAAGCAGTCACAGCAGGCCATGGAGCTGTCCACCTCCTCCAGCAGGCCAGATCCCAACAGGCCTCTGACCACCCAAACAGCCCTGCTTAGGGGTTTTTTTCCTGCTTAAAGAAGAGTTCTGCGAAGCTCAAAAGCTTGCTCACACCCACTATAAAATGTTGTTGCAAATGCTCCAAAGTCCCAGCCCCTGGGATCAGTCACTGCCCCCCCCTCCTCTAAATTCCAATACAATTCAAATACAACTGTTGTCAGAAAGTGGCCCATCACATAGCTGGTCACCAGCAGCAGAGATGTGAACAACGCAAAGAAGCTGAAGCACGATGGTGAAGAATGGCAGTTATGGCGTGCACTGGCAGGAGACAATGAAAAACGTAGCCTGGCGGCCAGGAATGAAGGGTATATGTTTTACGAGGCACTGAAAGCCTGGGACTGCATGCGCGCTGGGAAAGGAGGGAGGTGCAGCACAGTAATGAGGGATACCATATAACTTCCATCCTGCAGGGGCTCTGACAAACAGAATCTCTTTGTAATTCAATAAAGTCCCAGCAGTTTCCATGGTTCATCCATCGTGCCCAAAGGAGTGCAGCCACTAGTCACATAAATTGTTCCAAGCCAATATGTATAGGGAAAGGGTGGGGAGTAAAAAGGGTGGGTGACATTGATATGCCTCCCCAAATACAGCATCAGATACCAATCAGTACAAACTTCCTTTTGAGCTCACAGCAGGGGAACCACATAAGGAACATTCAAAAACTGCTTAAAGGAAGATGGGTCTTTGGAACAAGATAGGATCTAACAAAAAGAAACGGAGGATCATTTGATCCTAAAAAGTTTCGTACGCTACCCACATGTAACATCCACTTTTAAGAGAACAGCTGTATGGGGCTGCACTTTGATACGTTTGGAAAAGGTTTTCCTTCCAATATCATCAGAGCAACTAAATGGGATACCAATACCAGCTCTCTATACTAGATAAGTCAAGTTGTGGCTGTTACCCATCTGTTAAAAGAAAAGGAGATTTTCAGATTATTGGTGGTGGGAAGTGTGTCAAGCCCCAGCTGATTTATGGCAGCGTTTTCAAGGTGTGACCCTTCCTTGGGGAGGGGGCCTCCCATCCAAATACGAACCAGGGCCAAGCCATGTTTAGCTTCTGATCTGATGAGATTGGGCTAACCTGGCCCACCTAGGTCGGGGTTTCAGATTATTAGTCTTAAATATACTTGCAGGCTACTTCCAAACCACTTCCAAGTGGCATAGCAGTCAGGATGTATATCAGGGTGAGTGAATGAGAAAGGTATGCAGAATGGCACTGGGAGTTTCAATGCCTGTCCATTATACATATCTATTACATATTAAAATGGAGATTCTTTCACATCCCACACAAAAGGGCATTAGTAACTGCAGAAAGTTCAAACAAGTTCTCTTGCTATGGAGAGAAAAATCTAAGTTCTTTGATCAGACATGTAATGTAAGTTTACCCAATATATTTAAAAGTATTTTTTAAAGGAACAGAGTGATCAAAACATGCACAGTCAGACAATATCAGTAATTACAGAGGAAAAAAAATATGTACAGGTAGCCTGCTTAAATACATTCTATAACATGTTGAGAGTTGTTCAGCAAATTTAGGTGGACCTGAATGGACTGGTTTTTGTTTTTTTTTAAAGCAATGGTGGTACATTACAAGCATATTTTACCAGTTTTCTGGTATCTGTATTAAGATACTGGTTATAGGCTATGAAGTTCTTAAGGAACTGGCCCACATAAATCTGGGATTACTTATTCCCCCTATGCCTCATTGCAAACTAAGAGCTCCCTCTTAATTTACCAGCTGTGCAGCAAAACAGAGCAACTGACAGATGCAGACTCACTCTTGACTCCCACATCAAAACCATGGTATGCTTTCTCCCTTGAGACAGGATAGTGATGGAGAGGCTTTTCCAGTACAGGGTGGGGGTTATATATTATAGAAGTGTTGCTTCATTGTTAACAGAGAATTGTTGTCATTGGAAAAATATAAATTTGTATTATAATATTCTGAACTGTTGTGCCTTAATAAAGAAAGAGAATAAGATTATTTCTCTTAAGATTTATCAGAACCAGAGCATTGTTTATAACAAACTTTTGATTTGGGAGGGCTATGAGTGCCACAGCTGTGGTTTCAGCCTCCTTTTAGTCAGTTGTGCAGACCAGGCCTTACACACTCAGGGCCAA